GGTTTGATCTTGCTGTCATGGAACGTGGGGTGTCAGGCATGTAAAAATGTTGTGAATAGAAATAGAGCTCTCAAAGAAAACACAGGGATGATCAGAGAGTGCAACATCAGTCACCACAACCTTAGAGATATTCAGTCCCTTTGAGATAATTAAGTCCAGAGTGTGCCGCCCCTTATTGTGCGTGGGCTCCGTCACATGCTGAGTCAGTCCATAGCTATCAAGAACACAAAACAGCCCTTTAGCCCCTCTGTCCTGGGGGTTGTCAACATGGATGTTAAAATCACCAACAATGACTAGACGGTCAAAGTCAATACACACTATAGACAGCAGTTCAGTAAAGTCATCAAAAAAGCTTGCACAGTATTTGGGTGGTCTATAGATATTTAGGAACAGAGCTCGAGAGGAGCATTTCAGCAGAAGGGCCACATATTCAAAAGAAGCAAAGTTCCCATAAGATGTCTTCCTGCATTGAATGGAATCATTGAACAAAATAGCAACTCTACCTCCTTTCTTATGCATTCTTTCCTGACTCATAAAACTAAAGTTGGGAGGGTTTGATTCGATAAGAACAGCTGCACTGTTATTTTGTTCAATCCAAGTTTCCGTTAAAAACATAAAATCGAGATTGTGCTCAGTGATAAAATCATTGATTAAAAATGTTTTTCCTGCCAAAGACCTGACATTTAATAAAGCTAGTTTAAGTTTGTTGAATACACTATCAGTCAGATTTTTTGTGACAAGCTGTGGCTGACATGGAATCACTGCTAAATTTGATAAACTCACACAAACGTTTGAGCGCTTCCTGTTTCTAAGCTGATTCACCGCTCTCAATCTTTTTACCTATCAACACAGATATCGGCAAAGCTACTTTCAATTAAGTTAGTTGAAAGCAATAATATTAAGTTGAACCTAATATTTTGTATTTAAACGTAATATTATTGCTTTTAACTAACATAATACAGTTATGTTAAATCTGTTGACATAATACATTTCATTTAGGTCATTTCAGTGTTTCCAGTGTGGCTTTTTAAAGTGATAAAGGTCCTGCCCCAGCTCTTCCATAACGACAGCTCCCTGCTACGCCCGTCTTTTAAACGCAGGGAATGACATCACAGCGCAGATTTATTCTGACTTCACCATCATACAGTACTGTTGTTCTATAACGGGTTAGAGTGGAGTGCACATAAATAAAATATTTATTTTAGCAACAACATTTTAGTTGAGGAAGTGTGTACTTGCTGCAGGAAGGTTTAGGTTTTATACTGTGAAAAATGCAAAAAAAGAGTTCTTTATTTATTGATGTGCAGCAGTTGCAGTTCAACACAACACAAACAAATTGTGGTGAAGGTGCAAATAGGAATAAACAGATAACCAACAAGTACAGACACATATTTTACATTTAGATACTGCATATGGGAAGTCAGGGTTAAGTGACACAAAGAGGTGTGTGTGTGGCCCGTTTGCACTACACATAACCATTACATTCAGACAAGCTTGATGAATAATACAAAGCACAATGTTCCGACTGCTACCAGTTAAGGTTGTTTCTTTTCTTGTTCTCTCTCTCTGTATAACTATTTTTCCCCAGTGTGTGTGCATATGAATAAATCACAAGCCCCTAACATCGATTCATTAGGGCCAGACATCAAACATAATGTTAAAGATCAAGAAAAGGTTTAATATCTTTTAGTGCAGTGTATTCATTTTTCATTATGTTATTTGATACTTAATAAAACATGAGAGGCTCATGCTCTTATTGTAGAGTGTGCTAACTTGTTAGCATGTGCTGCAGACAGAGCTAGCTGCTGGAAACAATAGCTTGTAAAGCGCTTTGAGCACCAGGAAAAGCACTATAAAAATAACATGTATTATTATTATTCTGACCATTTTGCCACAGCTCTGGCTAGACTTTTTAAAAGCTTTTACCCGTCTTTCATTCTCTGGCACTGTTCCTCATTCAGGATGTCTCTGTCTCCTTCTTCTCTTCCCTAAAATTGTAGAAACTTCCGCAAACAACTTAGGATGGTGGGCAGCCGCAGGGTGAAGGTCCAGAGTAAGTCTTTCTCTGTACTCTATGTTTGCTGTGAGCAGCACGTATTCATGCACTCATGCTTTGCAGTGTGTACCATAACATCAGGATGCATTCACTCTTAATGCATGGAGCAACAGCACTGTGCATGTTCAGATAACATAACCTTACAATGGTCTTGATGGTGATCTGGTCTGGTGTGTTTATGTAAGTGTCAGTGACTATGTACCAACATTTACTTTACAAAAATAATGTATCGTGTTGTTCATATTGACTGTGTACTGCTGAGTTCTAGCATTCTATCACTGATAACTTGAGTCTGCAAACTCAGCTCTTTAACACGTGCGTCTGTCGCTATATCTTTGGAACCTTTGATTTGATTTTGATAACATAGTATGGGGCAATTATTTTCATTCTTCACAAATCAAGTTTGAATGGCAATTCCCCTGATGCTAAATGTAGATTTTTTGTCATTTGGTTAAATGGAATGTTGAGTTATCCTATAACCCAAAACATTGTGTGGCCACATATTTGACCCCACGCTTTCTGGAAACACATGTCAATACAGTATGCCATCTGTATCATTTGATATCGATCACAACATTCTTCACTTCACTAAAACAATTCTAATATTGAAATCAAAAAGAAAAATCAAGTCTGTCCCTTAAGTGAAGTTTGGTCATAAGAATACAAATGAAAATGTATTTAAGATATAGGGGTTTTGTGCTCTTTTCTGTTGTGATACAGCCAAGAACAACATTTGTATATCAAATCAGTTCATTTTTCAATGAAAACTGAACTACAACATAGACCTAAGTAAACATAAATCACTTGGGCCAGTTATCTGTTCTGCACTGGGTCAACAAGATGGAACCTTGGTTTACATATGTGTGTGTGTGTGTGTGTGTGTGTGTGTGTGTGTGTGTGTGTGTGTGTGTGTGTGCGTGTGTGTGTGTGTGTCAGGTGGGGAGCTTCAGACCTCCACAGGGACACTAGATGAAGGGCTGGACGAGTATGCCGACTGGGAGGAGGAGAGGGAGATGGAGAGAGTGGCCTGTGAGGAAGAGGACTTCATGCCACCTAAGATCATGGTGAGGATCTGGGCTTAACACATTTACCTAAACACAAAGTATCTGTCTTACAGCTAATGTTTCTCTGCACGTGTCCTGTTTTCCACAGCTGATATCCTCCAAGGTCCCGAAGGCTGAATATGTTCCCAACATTATTCGCAGGGACGACCCCTCCATCATCCCCATTCTTTATGTGAGTAGCAGCCATGAATAGCTTTATACGTAACACCCATGTTGTGCTCTATTCATTTAAGTGTCCAAACTAACAAAACTAAGAAACAAAAAGCAACCTTAGGAGATGAATGAAAAATGGTCCAATGTTCATTTTTGTCAGAATGCAGAAGAGCCAATAATGCTCTTTAAATGATTTAGCTTACAAGCAATTTACATAGTTAGAGCAGCCTGGCTTTGATATGTGGTACATTGCCCTTTTTATCAGATGGAAATAGGAAAGAACATCTTCTGCTGTTTTTATACAGGAAAAGAACAAAGTACCATTAGCTTGTTGTGAGATGCAAAATGTGAGTGTCAGTCAAAGTGTGTCAGTCAGTTGACCCTCAGTCAAGTTCCTTACGCAGTAGGAAGTGAGTACAAAAAATGAACCGTTGACTTTAATTACTTTAAATATTATTGCTTTGAACTAACCTAATACAGTTAGGGTGAAATGTGTTGACATAATACATTTAATTCAAGTCAATGTTTGGTTTTTCTCAGAGAAAGGGAGAGAGAGTTAGCTAATTCTTTGTGGTCTGATAAACAGTTAATTGATCAAATGTTGCCCGCCGAGCAGTGTTTAGATGTGGAGGGCGACGTTATGTATCTGTGAACAAGACAAATCACAACTCTTTGTCTAAATGAATTGTGATTTTATTAATGGCTCTGAGCGATCTAACGTTTTGTGAAGAAAATCAGTGGCTCATTTAATTTGGTTATATATCACTTAATGAAGTAATAATTCTGTTTTCCCTTTCTATTTAAAGGACCATGAACATGCCACATTTGATGATATCCTCGGTGAGTGTAATACGTGTGGGGCTATTAGCTGTCTAGTGAAAATGAGTGTCCCAGTGTAAATGTGGAACAGATGAGGGTGGAATAAGTTTCAGCTCGCTGTGGCAGAGATGACTCATTGTTTTCATAGTCGTGTTCGTTAGCATCTCTTGAGGGATAGCCAATTTATATATATCACCACCAAGGATCCGTGTGAAAAGTGACACATCTCTCTCTGTGTCCCTGTCCCAGAGGAGATAGAGAAGAAGCTGACTGCCTACAGAAAAGGCTGTAAAATCTGGAACATGCTCATTTTCTGCCAGGTGAGTGACACGAGGAACGGAAATATTGCGACATTATTGCCACCGTGTTATTGAATTAGTGATGGCTTAGAAATGTGATTAGTACTGTCTAATTAGCAGTTATCTATTGAGGGATGAATTTATATCACCTGGTAACAAGATCAGTATATCATTAATGTTCACCTCACAGAAAGAGTACATTTACATTTTAATATCATATTTTGTAAAGATATTAGCTTTTTCAGTTCAAAAATAATTAATTAATTTGATCTCGAACAGAACTAGAGGCCAAACTGAAATATTTGTTCGTGGACTCAAATCCTTTTTGCTTGCAATTTATTCAGAATTAAATGTATTCAAAAAAACTTTTGTCAAGAATACTATCGCACCGATCATGAATATAACCTGGCGAAAAAGGCAGGGTTATTTATGGTGAATATTTGGCCTTTTCGTGTTGTTCATTTAAGTAGTTTCATATTTTTGTACTGAGCTTATTTATAACGGGTGTTTGATTGGTTGCTATAGCTAACAGGAGCTAACTGGCTAAATCAGACATTATAACCAGGGGTGCACATAAGTGGTACGCAGGTACGCATGCGCGGCAACAATCTGAAATGCGTACCGTCACTTGTGTCACAAAGCGCATTTGCGTACCGATGTATATGTGAAGCTTTTCCATAAGGCGGTTAGATCACCGGACGACGGAGTCGGTCTCCGTGTGCAAAGACAGGGCTGCTGTTAACGTCGGCCTGTACAGCAGCACTGCGCTAAAACAGCTGATCACAACGTTCACACGCTCTGTGGTCACGAAGCTCTGCACTCTACTACTACCCCCCCCCGTTGACATTCGCGATACAGAGGGCTTCATCATACTCCACTAGCACCCCCACCCGCTGATATTCGCGATACAGAGGGCTTCATGGGAACTTTGAGGGAGCCGGAAGTTGGAGTACCAAACACTGACTCCAGGTACTCATCTGAGTACCTCACTGAGAAAGTTGTGTGCA